CACAGCAAGTGAGAATAAAACCGAATCTTTCTCGCATCTGCAAGATTTCACAGGTTGATCGCAACCTTGCCAGGCGAAAATGGCGTCTTCGTCCGGCGGAAGTGACACGCACGTCACTCCTTCTTCACGTAGAATCCGGCGGGGTCGCGTCGTCGCAGCCGGAACTACATCTAATTAGATCGATTCCCGTCTCTCCGTGAATTCGTCCTGCGGTAACCTGAATACGTAGACGTAACGATCCATCATGGGGACCTGGATAGGCGTTCACCATTTAACCTGCTTCCCGTCGACGAAGACGAGCCTCCAAGGGTGGCTCTGCTGATCAAGATTAATCGTATGCAAATTACCCGGCAGCCGCAGGCTAGATCCCGCGAGATTCAGGGAATCGCGTGACGTCGACACTCGCGAAAGATCGAACGTCTCGTAGAAACTCGGATTTTGATCATTGAAAATAGCCAACTCTACTCTGTTTCACCGTGTCTTCGTTCGACGATTCTCTGGCGATTTGCATGGAAAGTCCAGCGATCCTGTTTCGAATGCAAAACATGTCTTCGATTCATCGATGATCCATAAATTAGCCATTCAGAAGCCAAAATGATTGACTTCACTCTTTATAAGTGAACAATTTTTTAATATTATTATTCAGATTTTTAAACAAGCGAAGAATATGCTTGCTGCTTAATTTTTCAGAAATAAGAGAAATTCAATAAATTTCATTTTACAGAGTGAGTCTCACTTTGGCTCTCGTTGAACTCTCTCGCCTCTCGTTAAAGGCGAATCTAAGGATGCCTCAGAGTCTCTTCTCGCCTCGATCGCCATTCTTTTTCACATCAGACAAGCCTCCATTACCTCGACACGTGTGAATGGAATCCTGTGTTATTCTTGCACGTTGAAAATAGCACGGGTCTTTGAACGTTAATTCGGTACGTGGAAACGTGGAACAGGTTCAGTTCCACGTCACCTGGATGAAAAGTTAAGACCCCCGATCGCGAATAGTCGCACCATTTATCATGTCGGACAGTCGCCGCAAGGCTGTGCGCCTGCATTTACCTTGATATTCCTCTAGATTAGCTTCACCTGGTGAAATTAAACCTTCTCCGAATATTGCACCGCGTGAATGCTTTTCCTTTTCCAAACCTAACCGCTTCTATTTTTTCTCTACCCTCGATTAAAAACGACGAACTAAGAGAAATCGTCGCTGCAATTTCGAAACTGCTAGATTTTCAACAGCTTAAGAATTATTTATTAAATACGAGGACGATAATGTACACTACCGGCAAAAAGTTTGGAATCACCTCCCACTTTTCATCAATCTATTGCTAATTTTTTATAGATTTGAAGTTTATCTCAATTCTACATTTATCAATTTATCTCATATCAATTGATTCGAATGATAAAAAATTCTCAGAGTCGCTGCCTTTTTTCTGGAAATTTTTTTGTAAATTGACGGTGATTCCAAACTTTTGGCCGGTAGTGTATATGCATAAAGAAAAATGCACCGACGTCGGGCGTGCTACGGCCTCGGACAAAGGAAAAAACAAAAGCGAATCGCAACACACACGCATCACCCAGGCACGCTCGTCTCGCGAATAGAGGAGAGTAGGGGAATTACGAACAACTAAGGAAAAAATTGAATAAAACAGAGTGTTATAAAGGTAATAACATTTTTATCGTTTATAAATACATATTATCTGTTTATAAATTTTTATACTCAACTTTAACACTTGGTTTACGGACTTTTACGCACTTTGGTTACGGAAATTGACGCGCGAATGAAACCGCAGATTTTCTTTAAAAAACAACTGTGAATGGTAGGGGAGAAATGTAATTTTACTTGTGTAATTCTAAATGCGTCAAAATCACGCGTCCCGTAAACCTAGTGTTGACAAAATTTAAAAATAAAAGCAATTTTTAATAGAAAAACCAAATCGTTGCTGTTGGTGATTTCCTAGCGATCGTGGAGTAATCACGAAGACTACTTATTTTTCACAAAAGTCGCATAAATAGCCTCTAGATGTGCTCTGTCCTTCACAGCAATCGTAACGCATAATCCATTAGCATTGAACATTAGCATTGAAATAATTACACATGCAAAAGCTATACTTTACTTTCTTCAAGAAATTAGACGAAGACGAGCAAAAATCTTCGATAGTTTTTACCTCGATCAACTGTTTTGCATCGGTGAGCTATACTCTGTTCAAAATGAGAGTAACCTCGCTTCGCGCATGGGGCGTGCCTAAGGCAGGGCTAGAACCACTAGAACGTCCGAACCCCCCACTTAACCGCCTACGTTTTTCTCCGTCTTACTCTCTGCAGCGCTCTCTGCCTGTGCGCAGAACGGACGAGAATCGGTCCGAGAGCGAGGTTACTCTCATTTTGAACGACGTATAGCACTGCATTTGGTATAAGCGATCTAATGGCAAAAGCACGAATTGTTCACGCGTTTCCAACACCGTATATACGCGAATTCGCAATTACCCCAAATTCCTGTTTCCCCGACTCTCCCTTACACGAGGAACGCGAAAATACTCAAGACCAAAGGAACGTCGACGATTCCAGCGAGACAACCTCGACCATATGTCACTCTCGAGGATTATCTTGAATGAAATAATACGGAGAACGGTTATCGTCGTCGAGTGTGTATGTACATATAATAAAGAGCGTAAGGGAAATCCGATAATACGACGGTGATTTTGATAATGGAATTCGCGGGCCTGTGAGCAATTTGCCGGTTTGACGGACGACGCCTCTTATCGCCGGCGATAAAGTTCGCGGCGAGATGTGTGCCACGCAAGTGGGTTAAGTGGGTCGGTTCGCCGGAGTTACCGAATAGAGAAGGCAAAAGTGTGCCGGTAACGAGCGAAGACGTGACTTATTCAACCTCTCTCCCGGTTCGCGATCCTCAAACGCGAGTGAATAACCGTAACAACGGATAAATTACGGGCGTCCAAGGTGTTACGACATCGACGGGCTGCAAAGTGCATCGAAACGTCGCGTGAATTTCGTCGTAGGGCCACGGCTCAATATTTCATCGTGATAACAACCCCTTCGATCGACGATATTTTTCATCCCCAAAATTTCTCGTCATTTGATCCCCTTTTTTTCTCTCTCTCTCTCTTTCTCCTTTTTTCCCCCTGCAATCGTTGGTTCTGTTATCTACGATCCAACCGGCTAACCGGTGAAATTTTTTCCCGTGCGCGCACGCGGCGCGCGTGTAACGTGCAAAATACACAGCCATTGAAATTTAATTACGAGCCATGTGGCGACGTGACGCGTGTTGCTCGAATCCGGGGGAAAATCGTGGGTTTTTCTGGGTGGAAATTTCGAATGGAAACATTTCGGTCGACCCGACCATTGTCGCTCTCGATGATTAATCGTATCTCCGAGTCGACTCGGCTAACGTAGTGAGCTGTTATATATCGAATTAACGAAAAAAGAAGAAAAAACACAGAATTTTGTTGCGTAGAGAAGACGTTTCAGTTTGTACAATAACTGAAGAAGTAAATTGGTGATCGTTACGTAAACAGTAGTTGCGAGCTGTAAAGGGAATTTTACGTAAGTATGGTTCGCGGCGATTAAAGATAATGCGAGATCTTCGCGTCTTCTAACGTTCGTAACACCGTCTAGATTCGATTTGCCGATGAAATTACCGTGAATTACGGATTTCTAGATGGTCTTCCGAACGTCCCTGTGATTTTAGCGCCGTAAGCATTAGCGATACTCTCTCGTACCGATGGATCGCGACCTTGTGATCCGGAGACGTCTCTCGACGATGATCTCGAAACGATTACGTGTCCGGGAATACAAACTCGATAACTGCATTATCAAACAGGACACTCCTTTATAATTTGCTAATGTCCTCTTGATGATCGGTCGCAAATTATCTTAACAACCGGAACAAGCAGTCCTTTTTTGGACAGGTTGCTACCAGCTGACGTCAAAATCGTATTGTCTAAGTGAACGCGAATTGGAGATTGTAAATAAGTGAAATTTTCCAGGAACCGTGGCTGAATTACTCGGTAACATTCGTAATTTGGGCTAAATTTCTGAGTTACCGAGTTTCGGATAAATTTCTAAATTACCGAATTTAAGTCCGCGAATTTAGACTAAATTTCTAAATTACCGAACTCAAGTCCGCGATTTTATCTAAACGTTAAGCCATTTTACAATTTAATCGTAAAAACAGATCGTTGAATCGACGCTCTCATTCATTAGTCTCCCCCATGCGAAGATTGTTTAGTCAGCTGGGAGCGCGAGTACTCGCTGAATTATCGCGATTATTTATTGGTGAATAACTGGAAACCTGAATTACGTAATTACACGTAATCGCGTGGAAATTTTATTGTATCTGAAACCCTGGCTACTCCGTACCAACCATCAATCTTGCAACGATTTCACAACCAGCACAGACTTGCATCCATCGATTACTCTTTCACTCTCCTCTTTTTTTCCGTGAAAAGATCGAGGAGACTCGTTATTTGCTCGTTCCCCTCTTTCGACACCTACCCGCGTCCACTTATCAGCCGATTACGCAATCAGTCCGAAGTATTGTCACTCCCCCCCCCCCCCCCCGCCATTTTTCATTTTTCTAACTTTCCCTCGTCTCTAATAAACGATAGTTTTCTGATCGTTTTCCATTTCACCATTCTCCAGTTTATAGATCGATGTCTATTCATAGACGTAAGAAGTAATCTTCTTTTTCTTCTTACGAAGACATAAATATCGATAGCTCCGAATAGAAGTACACGTAAAATTAAATCGAATGGTAAAGAGAATTCGATGCGTTCTTTGTCGCGATACACATAGGCATAGGTTAGCCAATGTGTACGTTTCTAAGCAGAACATCGAACACTTACGAAGGCATCGAGTAAGCAACCGGCAGCGAGCAGACTATAGACCTCACGCACACACACAGCCGTGGCACGCAACATGGCAACCGTGGCAGGACGTAAACTGTAGACGATGGTTATACGTAGAAGTTCCAGTGGCAGGGGGTCAGTGTAAAACGGCCTTCTGTACGCAACGTGTCGAACGTTGTTTCTGTGAACGGAGCCGATTTTCCGCGGTGTCACTCCACAGTTCGTTTACAAACACGTATTCGCGGTCCGAAACCGTAAGGGAAATCGTCGGTACGGATTCAATCTGTACACAGTGTCGATCTATACGGGAAAACGTCTAAGGCCGTCGTCGATTAAAAACGGTGACACGCTTGAGTACTGGAATAAAGGTAAATCGATGGAGAGAGATGATCAACAAGAATCGGAGAGTGTGAATACACGCGACGTTGTTTCGCGTATGTACCAGTACTTCTCTGCGCGTGCCTCGTCGATTTCACTCGTGTTACTTTCCTTTGTTCGAAAATTCCAGTGAACCTAAGGTGTCTTTTGTAGTTTCGCAAATTTACGTATAATTTTCTTCGATTTCTTCGATCGGAATCTTCTTGCTGTCGTTTCGTACATATTTTTCGGAAACTTTCACTTGATTCACGCGGTGCACTTGGAAACTTCATGTTGAGAATGAAGTATGCGGTATATAGAGAGTGTATGTGGTATATGGAGAATGCGGTATATATACGTACGAATTGGCGGCCCTCGAACGCGATTCTTATCGTGGCTGGTTGCGGTCTTGTTTACTCAGATATAGCCAGTTGGGCATATTTGCCGGTAGAGCTGTGACAGAATTAGGCGGTCTATCTGGTAGCTTCCAGAAACGCTGGTGTGTTCGCGTCTAGAGAACATAGTGGCCTCTACGACGACGTCTCTCGCCAGATGCAGCATGAAAATGCGCACGGTTCAGCGCATCAAAGTCCAACAACGGTCGTGCGAATTCCTACGTTCTCTTTCGTAAAACGATGCTCGATTACGTCAACGATCATTTTTCTTTCGTTTCAAACGTGAAAAAGTACCACGTTGACCCCGATTATTCGTGTTTGCCGATTAAACACTTGCCGAACTTTTTCTTGCAAAATCCCACTCCCTTGTAAAACTCTCGATTTTGTAAACGACGACGATTCGGTTCTTTCCTCGTTTTTTCCTCTTATTCGAAGAGCAACGCGTATATTTAAAAGGAAAGTATCACGCTGGCTTGTTGTTCGTTCTCGCGGCTACGCACGACGCGTCTCGTGTTTACGTTTTCACTCGCGTGTTAGCTGTTTCCATGGAATTTAAATTTTGCCCATGCCACCGAGAACCAGTTGCTCGAGCCAGCGCGCAGAACACGACCAGGTAAAATCGGTCCAGGTTCTGCGTTACTTGTGTCTGTGTGTATGTGTGTGTGCGTGTGACTTGTTCCTGTTGGGTCGTGTTTGACCTGGTCGGGCCAGGTAGTACCGAGTGTCACGAGCGAATTTTTAGTCGAGCGTTTCTGTCCTCAAGAATCCACGTGACGCCGCTTCTGCGGTATTCTATCGATTTCCCTGTGGAATGCTTCCGTTTTGAATTTCGCGCGCTTAGTCATCATTCGTAATCGCGTTACGGTTACGAGATTGTGTTGTTTTTTTCATACAAAGATCACGTCATCGATCATATCGTGCTAGTAGAGGATAATTAACCTCTGTGAGGTCTGGGAAAAAAAAAACAACTGAGGTCGTAAGATCGGAGAGTGCAATAATTGCGACAACGTTTTGTTCATAAAATTAACGATAAATATTACGAGTAACGAGTGAGTAAGGAGAATAAACTCGGTCGATAATTTTCGCGTGAAATCGTGATCGGTGTTTCGAAATACGAGCATATGCATCGGTTGAAAAGTTTTTAGGTTAGCGAACACGTACCGGATCGCGGTACAAAATGCAATGGATGTTTTTGGAATAGCGTTAGAGGAACGTTGCGTTCCAATCGTATTTAGAACCGTGAACGTGTAAACATTCGCGATACTTCGGTTGCATTCGATCCGAGTTGTACGATATGGTCTCATCGCGTGAAATGAAATTCGTACGTTGTTAACAGAATAGAAAACATACGAGTGATTTTTCGAGTATCGCGTTCTGTCGTTCGGATTTAATAATGTATTCCAGAGCGGTGTCGCGAAGTCGAGCGCTCGGAAACGTCCTTCGTGCAGAAAATAACTCGTTGATCGTGATTCACACACGTGAGAGAGAGGGAGGAGATTTCGCGAGGATTTTCATTTTTCGATCGCCGAAACAGGAGGAATCACCTTCAAAGCCGAACGTGGCTTTATCTACAAGCCCACAAATCTTACGTCAGTTTGATAGTGGGGTACAAAGGTAGCTGCACGCCAGCTTTCGAATCTACCAACGAACACTCGCCATTATCTTAAACCCACCATATTTTACAATAGCCAAGCTTTCGAGACTCTCTTGTTACACGGCGGATTCGCAGTTCAGCCAGACTCTTAATACTGCACGGTGCTACAGTCTCCACCCTCTAATTCTACCTGTCTGCGAAGAAAAAAGTATTTATTCCTATAGAATCTACACTCGACCAGGATTTTCGGCCGTGTCTATATCTTCGAATGTACAGGCATTATCTCGTTCCCCACTCTGAGTCGAGACCCTTACAGCCACATTTACAGCGTACATTTCAAGGCCTAGGCAGCCATGACGTCAAGTTATCTGCCATCGCCCATCTGTACTTTACATTTTGAAACGCTCGTTCTCTCTCGGTCTTGTCTCGGGTAGAGACGTTTCTATGCATTGTAACTTTGACATTTGTCCTCGTTGACAGATCTGTCTGACGAGCTGTCCCCGATAATCACTTGCCCGTATTCCACGGAGTAGGAAAACCTCGAGGCCTCAGCCTCAGCCTCCTTTACGTAAGCTGTTGTTAGACAGACGAAAGACGACGATAGACGACGATGCGCGTTATCGCAAATTTTCCCTCGACGATCGTCCACGACGGAGGTATACGAATCCGATTAGCTTGGTTACATACACGTGTATATCCGTTCATTGTCATTCTTGGCGGATGAATGGCCGCATATTTTCCACCGCGTATCCCATTCGAGCGTCACTTTACCAAGGGAACGTGTGTTGCATGGGAACAACCGTTCTTTTCCCTATGTACACTTTTACCATCGAGAGTACCCTATCTCTGTCCTACACGATGTTACAGTTATTTCGCTCGCGATCCTCTTTGATCGACCGAAAATAAACGCGTACGAGAACGTCTAGCGCGAGAGACACCAGGCAACCAAGAACAACGACTGTTGGGTGGCGCGAGGCCACGTGTATGTACACTACCGCTCATAAATTTCAATTGTACACTGCGAACGTGCTGTGTAATTCAAATTCGTTTCAATTCGTTTCGTTCGAGGTTTATGAAAATTCCATTCTGATTTTATCAAATTTGAGGCTTCGTATCGAACTCGATGGAGGTCGAAGTTTATCTCTTTCGCCTAATTCGGTTTTTTTCTTATACTTGCAAGGGAACTTGCTGAAGTGATAATCACCGATTTCGTTGAAAATTTGGTACGTGGTAGTACCGAAAAAAATATTCGACAATGGTCCACGGTAAAGGGGTGAAAATCGTTTTCAAAGTTTCGAGGGTGGGGGTGCTAAATATGTTTAGTCTAATATCTCGGAAACTATTAGGGACAGAGAAATAGTGTAAACGGAAGAATTTTTTATTTTTTAACGAGAAACTTGAAAAACACAAAATAACAAACAATTTGGACCAAATACGTTTGTTACCCTAATCTTTGAGGGCGAATTTCGGCGTCGATATAAAAAAATACGTGTCGAATATTTTTTCAAGTACTACAAGATACCAAAGTTTCATCAAAATCGGAAGTTCATCACTTCGAGGTGCTTCTTTGTTGGTCATTGTCATGTTAACTGACGCGATTATACTTTTGAGCGATAGCGTATGTGTAAGTGTATGTATAAGCGTATATATAAGTACTTGTCACGGCCTCACGGAAAGTTCCGTGGTGTATCTCGATAAAAAGGCGTTTCATTCGAATGCGAATTGTGTTTGAGGAAGATGCGTCATCAGAGATGATTAACATCCACGAACTTGGACAAGTTTATCAGACTTCTACAGTTACTTTCACCAATAACGATTATTGGTTAGACGAAAAGCGTAGATAATGTCTTGTATATAGGAGGCAATAGATGGTAGTTATTCGAATGGTGTACGGTATGCAAATGGAATTACCAGGCGTTACCGATTTTCCATCGAGAAGCCAGAACAATCGTTGGTGCGCCGGTCCGTATTATCGGGATCGAAATTATTTAGAGAATCGAAGCGGGCCAATATTTTCCGCGATAATGAAATTTGTTCCTCGTGCCTGGCCACCAAGCGATTCGTTCGCCGCGAAATTTATGTATATCCCCGCGTTTCGACCAACGATGCATCATTTTCGATACCCCGTGACAAGTAATTAAGCGGCCTTTCCACGCTCGCGATCGAGCTTACGCGTCACCCTTTGACCGGACGTGTTCGCGCGTTTAATTCGATTTTTAAAACGTTCACTGAAAGGAATAAATTAACGGAGGCTCTGTGGTGTGTCGCCGAGTAATTTAACCGTTCCTTTTTCTCTGTCCCCTCTCCAATCCGTCGATTTTCGTCTACGATCATCCTAGAAGTTCGTTTCGATCTTGGTGAAGTAAATCCCCGAAATGCAGTCTCCATTGACGTCGCGGTATAGTTGGTGGAAGCGATGTAGCGAGGTCGTAAATTAAAGCATTAACGCGAGAACACACTCGTTGGATTGAAAATTACCTGACAATTTTGGTATAACAACTAAGAATTCCTTCTTTTTTTGTCATTTTTAAGGACATTCTTCGTCACATGTCGACTGTATTTTTTATAAAAAATAATAATAAAATTCCGAAGAACAGTTTCTAAATTTGTAAAAAAGTGTAATTTTACCCTGCTGTAATATTTTTACGCAAACGCTCCCGACGATAGCGATTGATGTAGCCGCGCTCAGGATATTTCCGAATTGATTTTTAAAATTTACGATTACAATCTTTCATTTTAAGCTACACGGTATCGAGCCTCGGTCGCTTCCCGCATAAAAATGTCTTCTTCCAGGTCCTGGAAGGATTTCTATCAGTTTGGTCGTACCGACACTCGAAACATGATTACTTTAGCTCCTGATGACTTTTACGTCCACGCTGTATCGTGAATCAGATTCTACAGAATTTGCTTTGCTCTACAAAAAGATTACGCGTCCTTGCATTCGCGTGGTATCTTTGTTTCTCGTTTGAAGCACGTTGTTGCCGCAGCAGCATAGTTTGATACATAAATATGCAATCGGCTG